ATCTACCTGAACCATGGTCCAGCCTGAAGACAAGTCCCTGTCCACATCCCAGTCCAAGTCCTTGTCCAAGTCCCTGTCCAAGTCCCTGTCCAAATCCCAGTCCAAGTCCCTGTCCAAGTCCCTGTAGTGAAGTTACAAACACACAATCTACCTGAACCATGGTCCAGCCTGAAGACAAGTCCATGTCCAAGTCTCTAACCCAGACCAAGCCCCTAACCAAGCCCAAGTCCAAGTCCCTAAACCAGAACAAGTCCCTGTCCAAGTCCCAGTCCAAGTCCCTGTAGTGAAGTTACAAACACACAATCTACCTGAAGCATGGTTCAGTCTGAAGACAAGTCCAAGTCCAAGTCTCTAACCCAGACCAAGCCCCTAACCAAGCCCAAGTTCAAGTCCCTAAACCAGAACAAGTCCCTGTCCAAGTCCCTGTCCAAGTCCAAGTCCCAGTCCATGTCCCTGTCCAAGTCCCTATAGTGAAGTTACAAACACACAATCTACCTGAACCATGGTCCAACCTGAAGACAAGTCCATGGCCAAGTCTCTAACCCAGACCAAGCCCCTAAACAAGTCCATGTCCAAGTCCTTAACACATACGTTCTACCTGAAGCATGGTCCAGCCTGAAGACAAGTCCATGTCCAAGTCTATGTCCAAATCTCTAACCCAGACCAAGCCCCTAACCAAGTCCCTGTCCAAGTCCATATCCAAGTCTCTAACCCAGACCGAGCCCCTAACCAAGTYCCTGTCCAAGTCCAAGTCCCTGTCCAAGTCCAAGTCCTTAACACACACATTCTACCTGAAGCATGGTCCAGCCTGAAGACAAATCCATGTCCAAGTCCATGTCCAAGTCCCAGTCCAAGTCTCTAACCCAGAACAAGAGTCCTTCATTCATTCTAATACTTCAAAGACATGTGGTCCAACAAGTCCTAAACCCAGTCCAAGTGTGTACAGGTCAGTGGCTCCTGTCCCAGATGAGGCCTGAAGTCTTTGTTGTAGTGTCTCACAGATTGTTCAACACTTTGTGTCTTTGATTGTTTATTATTTGTTGTTTAACATGAAGCTCTGTGTTCAGCAGCAGGTGGTCCTGGCTCTGTGGTCTACAAAGGTTCTGATGTTAATCTGAACTGGATCCAGAGGTCAGGTCTTACCAGGGACCGGGTTCTCGTAGCTTGGATTACTCTCTGCAGAGGAGGAATCACTGCGTTCAGACAAATAAACAAGAACAACACAAACACCAGGTTCTAAGTAAAAACTGAAGCTCACCAGTTTCTGTGGGGGTGTAGGGTCTCAGCCGGCGGTCAGACCTGCGGTCTTCAGAGTTCGGACTAAAAACAACAGCTGGACGTTAGATCAGTTCATAAATCACAGCTTTTATTTAAACCTTGATGGAAAATAAAATCTACAGCTGTGAGAGGTGGACCTCCTGACCGAGACTGATCCAAGGTTCTCTGTATAAAACTGACTGTATATGATGCAGCCATGGTTCCAATGTTTATTATATATATATA